TTTGGAGAAGTCTAGAGAGAGCTTCAAGATAATCTTTGCTAGGCGTCTAATGATTTTTGATTGCCTTTCAACCTCCAAGGCCTTCATATTTATATTGAATAGGAGCACTTTCTTAAGAGTAATTAAAAAAGCACGTTCAATCATACGAGAATATACTTGTCATGGAAGAGCATTAAAAAACGGTTTAGGAGATATTAAAAGAATGATTATGTAGTTGGGTAAAGGGTGTAAGTTTTGGGTAATGAAGTCGTGGCACTAGATAATATGCCATGCGTGTTCTTCAAAAGCAAAGAAAGATCAAAAGGGTAAGTAAAACACATGTATTTTAAGGAAAGGTTAAGAGGAAGTTCTCTTAATTATCTTTATATCTAAGCCACCAAGCCAAACTCTTTAGAACATCCAAAATGTGAAAGTAACTCATGAACCTTGCAACTTCTTCTGAGTTACTTTCACTTTTCTGTATAAATAGCTGTTCCATGCTTATTCCTAGGTGTTTTTGCACTTGGAACACTTTTATGTGCTCTCACGCTAAAAACGCCCTTTAGCACTTTTGCGCTCGAAACACCTCTAGGCGCTTCTACACTTGGAATACCTTTAAGCGCTTCCCTATTGGAACACTTTCGCATTTGGAACACCCTTGGGTGTTTCTTCGCTCGGAACATCCTTAAGCGCTTTTGCATTTGGAGCACCCTTGGGTATTTCTATATTTGGAATACTTCACTTCCACACTTGGAACACTCTTGGCCGCTTGAAACATTCTTGGGTGCTTCTACACTTGGAACACCCTTAGGCGCTTTCATGTTTGAAACACCTCTAATGTAATTTATTTGTAACACAATACTTCAAAATAATTAACCAAAATTGGATATCTACAATTGACCCCGTACATAAAAATTCTTATAAAAAGTTTTATGTATAAAATAAGGAGATGCACAGAGTAATACTTCTTTTTTTAAGAGGTGTTCTGAATACTACTCACAATACTTCTTCTTCTTCGAGAGGTGTTCCAATACAACTTGCAATGCTTCTTATTTTCATATGTTGTCTTTTCCAATGATAAGTCGTTGACTCAATGCTTTTGACACTCATTTGGAAGGCTTTCATAGCATTTTAGTCTGGGTGCAAAACTTGGAGTTTTCGGAGCGTATAGATGGTTTCAGTGAGAGATCGAAAGGTGGAGTTGCCAAGAAGATTAGACAACTTTTCCATATTTGAGAATAATAGATCTTCTTACCCTTTGAACTTCATACTTAACTAGTTTTTTCTTGTTCTTCTTTTTCTGATTTCGTAGACTTATTTTCCAAAGTAAACATTTACTTTGCTTTCCTCATGGTTTTATTGAACTACTCTATTCCATATTTCATTCTTTGAAAACAAATGAATGTTTCACAAGCATTATTGTATGCTACCAAAAAAGATTCTTAACCTCATAGTAGGCAGAATAATCCTCAACTTAATAGGAAGGAGAATGACATTTTATATGAGTGTTTAAAGCAGTGGTTTAATTGTGAATAGCAAACTATGGCTAAGAAGTGAGCAATAAAGCTTGCGGCCAATAGCGTAAAATTATTCTAGCTAGATTATGAGCTTGGAACACCCTTAGGCGTTTCTGCATTTGAAACACTCTTGAGTGCTTCTGCATTAGGAACACCCTTTGGCGCTTCCGTGCTTAGAACACTCTTAGATGCTTCCATGCTTGGAACACCCCTAATGTAATTTGTTTATAACAAAGTACTTCAAAATAGTTAACCAAAATTAGATATCTACAATATGCCTGCAATATAGTTTAGCATTAAAATATAAATATAGGTCCAAAAATCCAACCTTTTGCATACATTGCTGTCCTTAGAAGTGGCATTTTATTTTCCCAACAAACGGCAGCACCTATTTTTCCAATTGGAGTCTCAAAAACTGGAATTGTTGATCCATCTCCAAATCCCCAAATTATACGCTCCAATGCTGTGGGCATGATTTTTCGGTGCTTACCCAGAAACCGACCTTGAGAGTCAAAAAACAAAACTGTACAATATAAAGTATATCCATCTCTCTCTATGACACCCACAACCAAGTACACCTTATATTTTCCAGCCATGGCTGCCAAACGGTCAACTTCAGGACCTGCAATTAGTATAAGCCACAGATAAGTAACAAGACGTGAAAAGAGAGTCACATACTTTGTTTGATAAGTATTAAGTTTCAAATAGATTCAGAAACTGCAAAGGATAATAAGGTACAAATAGTTTCAGTGAAAACTATTGTAGTTGCATATACAAAAATAAAACTTCCATAGTTTCCCAATCAAACTTTCCCCAAACTTGGATTTCCGGTTTAATACATCTGATTTGACCACATTGGAACCAATGCATCGTTCTGTGTCCGCCAGCAGTCAGCAGGCAATATTTGTGCTTGTCAATCTCATCAATAAACAATCTCAAAGGAAACATTTTCATGACCTTATAGCACAATCTAAGTCATAGCGTGTTCTCCAAAGTAACTCCCATTTTCCCACCAAAATGATTTTTTCTTTCTTTTGCTACAGAAAAGCCCAATTGGATTAAATAACTAAAAAAGAAATAGATCTCTTTCCATTTTATATACCTCAATGCCCCTCCTCAAGATCCGAATTCAAAGAGAGTTTCAAGTTTTTTTTTTCCGCCAAAATTGAAAGTAAAATATTCAGTCAAAACAGTTGAATCATCCAATATCTGACAAGATTATCAGCAAAAATACAGAGGGATAAAGAAAGCAAGAAAGGACTTCTTCTGCAAAATCGTATCGACCCAATAAAAACAACGTAAAATTGCAAGCCAACAAATCAGCCATTAACATAATCATCTCAAGAAAACATCATCATTAGCTGTCTTGTCAGTATAAAATTACAAACAATTCTTAAGAAAAAAAAAAACAAGTAGCTCTTCGATACAGACCAGGAACATCAATAGCTGAAGCATGATACTTCCGGAACTCTTCTTTCCCTTTAGCAGTTCGGTTCCCAATGGTAACACCAAAATTCGAGCCACGTGGATATCCTCCGATGAAGGCTTCAGGGAACAGCACCAGCTGGGACCCGTACCCTGCTGCTTCAGCCAACAATCTCTCCGCCTTATCTAAAGTAGCAGGGGTGTCGTAGAAAATGGTCGAAGCTTGGACGACGGTCGCTCGCATGGTGGGTGCGAAGGAGTCGCCACCCATGTCGACCTCGGCGAAGAGCGGCCCGTCAGGCTGTGATGGTGGTGGGGCGGGGACTAGTGACATAGTTTTGTGTGTATGAGTTGCGATGTCGTTTCGTTTGTCTGATAGTGGAGAAGTTTGCAAATGGAACTTGTTGCTGGAAAAGAGTTATGGTTTCAAAAGTTTTTAGCCGTTTCGGGTACCAGAGCTTTCTAGATTGCCTTTTTTATTCTATGGGTTACGTGAATGCGAGTCTTTGCAATATGTTTGTTTGGTGGCGGCTGCGGATAAATTCCTTTCCCCGTCATACTCATATAAGATTATATGTTGAAATCTATCACAATATTAAAAAAATAATTTAATTTATAATATCTAATAAAAATATTATTTAAAAAAATTTAATCATAAATTCAAGCTAAAGAAAATAAGAGAACACAAAAGTAGAGAAAAAAACTTATTATAAAAACTTTGCAATCTCAATGCTCTCTCAATTCTTTTATTTTCTTGTTTTGTTATTGGCTCTTTTTTTCCAAAGTAGTTACTTAGTACCTCCTCCTCTCAAAACTTTTAAAACAGGCCCTTTAAATAAGTTTTAAAAGCACTAACTTCCAAAATCTCATCAAAAATAAATTTTGGTAAGTGGTTGAGTGCCACAGCGCATTACTCTCGGGTGGCATTATGGTACTTCTCTCTTATCGTATCTTTGTTGCATTGCATCATCTTGTGATGAGATTTTTGCCTATTTCCAAGATGAATTGGATAAATTCGTAACCAAAAAATTTGTATCTCTATCTCTTATATTTCCAATGGTTTAAGAATTACATCATTTTGACTTCTTAATGTAAAGATATGTGTAAAACACTTCATTATGTTTAGTCTATGTAGATTGCTACAATAGTCCAAATTTGATAGGGATTTTGACCATGCTATGATCTAAACTGGATAAAGTGGTAAACATCAAAGTTGTAATCCTTCCTCTCAAAATTCTAATGGTCTAAGAAACACCTCATTTTGAAGTTCTTGATATAAAGATATAGTCAAAAAATCGACACATCTACAAATGAAACCATCATGATAGTTACACAGATTTTTATCAAATGGGCCTTTTTCATCAAATTTTCTGTAAAAGCAATAAGAGAAATCAACAATAACTACTCTTAAAGTAATTTAAAATAAAATATCATAAAATTAAATTAAAATAACTTAAATTCGCTACTCAACATGTAATTAAGCTTAAATTAGAAAAATATCTAAAATGTTAAAATTTGAACCTAAAATCTTAAAGATCTAGCTACTTAAGCTCCCAAAATGTGTGAAAATAACTCTCTATAATATAGTTGTTAGAAATTAATGACATTTCTCAGTGAAAGTGGCATAAACAATAATGAGCTTTGTAACAATTCACCAAACAAGTAGTAGACAAAACTTTCTTTAGTCTACTCTGCCTTTACAAGTATTTTATAGTAGAGCAAAATCTTCTCTTTAAATTGATCGTTGATTGATTCCCTTAATTCTACACATGATCCCCATGACATTACATATTTTTCTACTTAGCTTTCTCGATTTTCTTGGGATTGTATTAATTTTGAATTTATTCCTTTATATTCTTTTAAACAATGTATACTTTATTTATAAAGTCAATCTCAATATGAACAGTTAAGCCATTATCACAATCTGTGCAAATATCTCATATGATATCAGAGTGACACTGAGCTCCAACAAATCTCTAAAATTCTTAATTATCTTTTTCATTTTTTTCCTCATGGCTGATGCTTCAAAAACCTCTTCTTCCACTAGCCATTCTAATAACTCAACCATCTCTACCTCACCCATTATCTCAACAACTAGTGGCATTACCCAACAACCAAATTTGATTACCACCGACTTTATTTATAGAGTCAATATCAATGTGAATAGTCAAGCCATTATCACAATCTGTACAAATATCTCATATTATATCTTGTATTTCTTGTTTCAATAACACAAATAAGCTCCTTCTTAGGTATAAAAGTGTTAATAATGCCATGTTTAAACATAATTCTTAGGTTGGAGACACTAAAGCTAGTGATCATATATCTAGCTTTTTGGATAATTTTAGTTTTGCTAAACCAGAGAAAGATTGCTATGTCTAATTGCCAAACGATGTTAAGGCTCTTATAACTCATATAGGAACAGTCAAATTAACATCATTGTTGACTTTGTATTATGTCATGTGTGTTCTTTCATTCAATTTCAACCTTATATCAATAACTAAGTTGACATCGTATTAGAAAACTTGTGTGCTTTTTATTGATAAAATATGTGTTATTTATAATCTCCTCTCATGAAAAGTGATTAGGATTACTATAGTATCCTCGGGATTGTACTTCTCACAAGATTATCAAGATGAAAATTATCTTGCAAAATTTAGTCTTGATAATTTTGTACATTATTCTTTTAAGCATTCTATCAATTTTTGTAAAATAGCTCTTAACCAGTTTGGTTTATGGCATTTTAAGCTAGGCCATATACATTTAGATAGAATAAGTCTCATTCACAAACAATGTCCTAAAATTGATTGTTCCAAGAGCTTAGTATGTGAAATTTGTCCTATAGCTAAATTGAAAAGATTACCATTCCCTATTCATATAAAAAAATTACAACTTTTCCTTTTGAAATAATGCATGTAGATGTTTGGGGACCTTATGCAGTCCTAGCTATAAAGATCAACATTACTTTCTTACTTTGGTGGATGATTTTACAAGATTTACTTGGGTTCTTTTAATGAAAAACAAGTCAGATGTGTCAACTATTTTAATAGTTTTTCACAAATATGTTCAAAATCAATTTTCAACCATTGTTAAATAATTTAGAACTAATCGAGGTGGGGAGTTTAAACTTCTTGATTTTTATCAAAAACATGGCATAATACACCAAATGTCTAGTGTGGAAGCCTCTCAACAAAACGATATCGTTGAGAGAAAACATCAACATGTTTTTCTAGTATCTAGAGCATTAATGCATCAATCTTGTTTGCTTGTTCTTTTTTGGGGAGAAGCTATTCTTACAACTACTCATATAGTTAATAAGATATCAACAAAGGTTTTGCATGATGAATCATTGATAACTCTATGATATAGAGTTATTTGGGCTTAATTTTGATAGTAATTTAGCGTACTTCTTGTAATAATATATAGAAATTAGTAAGTTTTATTTAATTATTTTAAATTAGTTAATTTAGGTGAGTCAATTTAATCTTTGTGAATTTTATGCTTAATTTTGTGTTAATGTGGTTAAGATAGGTTGTTATTGATTTATTTGTACTTTTGTAAGTATTTCATGAAAGAAGAATTTTTGTGGAAGAAGAAAAACAATTTTAAAGTGTAGACTTTTACTGCACATGTTTTGATATTTTGGTCATAACTCTCCCTACAGAGCTTCAAATTAGATTATTCTTAGACCAATCGAAAGATAAGAGAAAAATATACAATTTCTATGTTTACCACTCTGCCTAGTTTGGCATGAAAGGTGGTTAAAGATGTTGTTGAAGTTGACATATTGTAGTTGTCCTAAAACAATTATGATTTCTATTAATTAATTGGGCAAGGCTGCGATCCACGTAGTTTGATGAGGAAATCCTGATTGGAGTTGACTTCTTTTTTCGCCCAACTTGGTCTAAGTTCAAAACCTATAAAAACAACCTTTCGGAGGACTTTTAAAGAGGGGAGAGAATGAAACACTAGATTGATAGCTAAGAATCAAGCCATAGAGTCATTGAAGCTAAGAAAAATTTGAAGGATTCAAGGAGATTTGGAGATTAAGAATACAATTCTTGAGTTTTTCTATTTTTTTTATTTTCTTATTCTCTTAGTTTTGTTTTTAATGTTTAAAAATTTTTCAAAGATGATGTGTGACTAGATGGAGAGCTAAACTTTTAATCTAAGATTATGATTAAATTTAATATGTAGTATAAATTATTTATCTCTCTGTTAATTATGTTTGATAGATTTAAATTGTTTATTATATTCTGTTTTTAATACTTTTAGTTGACTAGTCACCAATTAGATTCAATTGGAAACTTATGTTAAATCTTGACGAAGAAGATGTAGGTAAACCTTGAATAAAATAGTGTATGATTGAATATGCTTAGTTGATTAGGTGGTTTGAATTGCACATAGGGTAGACATACGCTTATAAGCCATATGTAGCCAAAATTAGAGCACAAACTTAATGAATTAAATTAATTTGGAGAGATATTTTTATGAGAAACTCGACAGAGATTTGTAAATAATTTAAAACTCTAAGTTAGCAACTCAATCCATTAAATTGAATTATGAGAGAGAGACAATAATCATATGAAGTATTAAGGGATATCATAATCTTAGGTCTAGTAGTCATTCGAATTTAATAAAGTAAAATTATTAATAAATTTTAGATTAATTTTATCTTTAGTTTATTAGTTTATTAGCTTTAATTATAATTTTAATTGTTTGGCTAAGATTTGGGTGTTATAGTTTTAGTTGTTAATAGTAAGAATTAAAACAATTCTCCGTGAGAACGATACTCTATTTATTATTATATTATTTATTAACGATACGTGCACTTGTGTGAGAAATCAATAACAATCATCTTACGAAATGCTTTACTTTAAACCTCCTTCTTATGAACATTTTAGGGTGTTTGGTAGTTTATGTTTTATGTCTACATAGACACAAAATAGAAGAAAATTAGACAAAAGAGCAATCAAATATGTATTTGTCGATTTTCTAAATGGAATTAAAAGGTATAAAGTTTATGACATTGATGCAAACAAGTTTCTTATATCCAGGAATTTACTTTTTCATGAGTGTATTTTTCCTTTTTCAGTCATTATAGAACAACTCACATTAGTTTACATTTTCACAAACACCTTATCTGCATGACTTTAACTTTGGCATGTAAGCTCATGATATTGTTGATTTCTCACCAAATTTCCATTCCATAGCTAAGTCATCTTCATTTACACGTGTTATATCCTTTGACATTGTTTCTCAATTAGAATTTTTTCATGATCAACCTTATTCTTCTAAACTTGTCATTGAACATAGCAATATAGAGTCAGCTATTGCACCAGTTGATCATGCTACTGATACTACTTCATTTCCTAGAAAAAGCAATAAAATTAGGCATGTTCCCAAAGACCTTGATGTCTATCAAATTGAACTTCCTTCTTTTTCTCATTTAGTAATATCACATCCTATTATTAAATTTCTTTCTTGTAATCAGTTATCTACTGCTCATAAGACATTTATTGCTACATT